AGCTACCCAGTGAAACTATTTAAACATCATTCTCAAAGCACTTGTTTTAATGGCCATCACCACTAGGTGGACTATTAGTCTGGACATCACACAATTCATCAGTCTTCAGTATTGGTGGTTCAGCAGCACTTGAAAGGCTTTCCTCCACCTGTAGCAAAAACATGAACTTATATAAATAAAGTGCATGTGATGAATGATGCTTTTGCTTTTGAGGTTTGTGTGATATAGGCTAATCACACTTAATGCAATTAATCAGTAAGCTATACATTATTGTGTACCTCAGAGATTGGTGCTAGTTTGTTCACAGTGATTGGCTTCCCATTTTTCTTCAGCCAGTCATAACCTTTCTGATCTACTACTAGTAAAGAAAGAGTGTCTCCTCCTCTTTTCACATGTAAGATCACATCCTCCACAGACTCTTTCTCCACGTTCTGTCCATTCACCTCCACCACCACATCACCCTGAAGGAGACCTGAAGTCTGTTCTGGGCCTTCTGCTGCTACCTGAAAATGTAAAATAATATATACTGTCATTATAAAAGAAACGTTTGTTGTTCGTATTTACATGCAATGATATATATTTTACTTTTAGTGTTCTATCATTTCTAACAGATGACACCCTGGATATTATATTCAGTCCACTATATGTGGCCTAAGGCTGATTTTCCAAGCGTATACTTCTGTGAAGAGTCCCCACCGAACAATGCTTAATTTCTATTCACCTCTGAAGTCAGTATCGTCTAAAGGCTGATTTGGCAGTGAATGGGCTTCATTGTACCTGGCTGATGAAGGTGCCAGGTTTCTGATTGACGCAGGCCAAATGGAAGCCAAAACCGGCAGAGCCCCTCTCCAGAATACAGCATCTAACATTCGGATTGATCTGCACATCCTCCTGAGGCTCAAGAGGGGGCACTGCAGGCTTTAGAGTCACTGGGATTTCCTTTTGCTCCTCAGGGCTACCAGATGTAACATCCTCACAGAACAGCAAGGGAGACAGGCCCAACTGAGAATGAGTAGTATATGACATTTAACACACAAGGAGACAAACAGGCATAAGCAAAAGGATGAACATTTGTTGATGAATTCATCCTTT